AGCTAAGAACTTGCTTTATGTATTGGATGCCTATATATTTAGGATAGTTAGCTCTTCTTGTTGCATTGATTCCTTTACCAATATGTAATGCCCTTCTTTGTCTCTTTTGATCTTTGTTGGTTTAACGTCTGTTTTATCAGTGACTAGGGTTGCAACCCCTGCTTTTTTTTTTTTTTTGCTTTCTGTTTGCTTGGTAAACGTTCCTCCATTCCTTTATTTTGAACCTATGTGTGTCTTTGCCCATGAGATGGGTCTCCTGAATACAGCACACTGATGGGTCTTGACTCTTTATCCAATTTGCCAGTCTGTCTTTTAATAGGGGCATTTAGCCTGCTTACATTTAAGGTTAATATTGTTATGTGTAAATTTGATCCTGTCATTATGATACTAATTGGTTATTTTGCTTGTTAGTTGATGCAGTTTCTTCATAGTGTCAATGGTCTTTACCAGTTGGTAAGTTTTTATAGTGGTTGGTACCAGTTTTTCCTTTCCATGTTTAGTGCTTCCTTCAGGAGCTCTTATAAGGCAGGCCTGGTGGTGACAGAATCTCTCAGCATTTACTTGTCTGTAAAGGAGTTTATTTCTCCTTCACTTATGAAGCTTAGTTTGACTGGATATGAAATTCTGGGTTGAAAATTCTTTTCTTTAAAAATGTTGAATCTTGGCCCCCACTCTCTTCTGGCTTGCAGGGTTTCTGCAGAGAGATCAGCTGTTAGTCTGATGTGTTTCCCTTTGTGGGTAACCTGACCTTTCTCTCTGGCTGCCCTTAACATTGTTTCCTTCATTTCAACCTTGGTGAATCTGAGGATTATGTGTCTTGGGGTTGCTCTTCTCGAGGAGTATCTTTGTGATATTCTCTGTATTTCTTGAATTTGAATGTTGGCCTGTCTTGCTAGGTTGGGGAAGTTCTTCTGGGTAATATCCTGAAGTGTGTTTTCTAACTTGGTTCCATTCTCCTCATCACTTTCAGGTAAACCAATCAAACATAGGTTTGGTCTTTTCACATAGTCCCATATTTCTGGGGGTTTTGTTCATTTCTTTTTATTCTTTTTTCTCTAATCATGGCTTCACACTTTATTTCGATGAGTTAATTTTCAATCTCTGATATCCTTTCCTCTGCTTAATTGACTCAGCTATTGATAATTGTGTAAGCATCACGAAGTTCTTATGCTGTGTTTTTTAGCTCCATCAGGTCATTTATTTTCTTCTCTAAACTGGTTATTCTAGTTAACAATTCGTCTAACCTGAGATGCCCTGCCCAGACATGGGGAATCTAGAGAGGCAGTCTGGCTACAGCGGCTTTGCCAAGCTTCAGTGGGCTCTGCCTACTTGGAACTTTCCAGAGGCTTTGTTTACACTGTGAGGGGAAAAGTACCTACTCAAGCCTCAGTAATGGTAGATGCCTCTCCTTTTACCAAGCTAGAGCGTCCCAGGTTGACTTCAGACTGCTGTGCTTGCAGTGAGAATTTCAAGCCGGTTGATCTTAGATTGCTTGGCTCTGTGGGGGTGGGATCTGCTGAGCTAGACCACTTGGTTTTCTGGCTTTAGCCCCCTTTACAAGGGAGCAAATGGTTCTGTCTTGCTGTAATTCCAGGCTCCTCTGGGGTATGAAAAAAAAACTCTTGCAGTTAGCTCAATGTCTGCCCAAATGGCCGTCCAGTTTTGTGCTTGAAATCCGGGGCCCTGGTGATGTAGGCACTGGAGGGAATCTCCTGGTCTGTGGGTTGCAAAGACCGTGGGAAAAGCGTAATATCTGGGTTGGAGTGCACTGTTCCTCATGCCACAGTCCCTTATGGCTTCCCTTGGCTAGGGGAGGGAGTTCACTGAACCCTTGTGCTTTCTGGGTGAGGTGATGCCCCACCCTGCTTCGGCTCATCCTCTGTGGGCTGCACCCACCGTCTAACCTGTCCCAATGAGATGAGCCAGGTACCTCAGTTGAAAATGCAGAAATTACCTGCCTCCTGTGTTGATCTCGCTGGAAGCTGCAGACCAGAGCTGTTCCTATTTGGCCATCTTGACAGCCACCATAGTAATTTCTACAGTTGATTTTTATCAACAAACCATTTTTTGTTCCTGTTGATTTTTCTCTATTGTTTTTCTCCTTTATATTTTATCTTTTCTCTAATCTTTATTATTTCTTTGGCTTGCTTTGGGTTTAATTTGCACTTATTTTTCTAGTTTCTTAAGGTGTAAAGTTAGGTTGTTAATTTGAGATTTTTAAAAAAATATAGGTGTTTACAGCTATAAAAATTTCCCCTGAATACTGCTTTTGCTGCCTCGTATACATTTTGGTATGTTGTGCTTTGATTTGCATTTTATCTGAAAGTATTTTCCTGTTTTTCTAGTGATTTCTTTCTTAACCTATTGTTTAAGAATATGTTATTTAATTTCTGTGAACTTGAAAATTTTCTAGTTTTCCTTCTTTTATTGATTTCTAGCCTCATTTCGTTGTTGTAGAAGATACTTGGTGTGATTTATATATTTTGAAGTTGATTGAAAATTGTGTTATGACCTAAATTATGGTTTATTCTGGAGAATGTTTCATGTAAACTTGAGAAGAATACATATTCTTCCATTTTTGGTAGAGTGTTCTATATATGTCTGTTAGGCCTTGTTGCTTTATAGTGTTGTTCAAGTCATCTGGTTCCTTATTTATTTTCTATGTGTTCTATCCATTACTAAAAGTGGGCTATTGAAGTTTCCAACTATTATTCCACAGTTTCCAATTATTATCCTAATTATATAGTTGTCCTGTCTTCTAGCCTATTTTCTCTCTTCAGTTTTGTCACTGTTTGCTTTATACATTCTCAGGCTCTCTAGCTTGATGTGTATACATTTATAATTGTTATATCATTTGATGAATGGATCCTTTTATCCTTATAAAATATATTGCTTTGTCTTTTGCAATAGTTTTTGATGTAAAATCCATTTTTTGCTGATATCAGGATAGCCAACCTGGCTCTCTTTTTGTTGTTGTTTGCATGGAATATTTTTTTCTATCCTTTCATTGTTAACCTATTATGTCTTTGGGTCTAAAATTGGTCTCTTATAAGCAGCAACTAACTGGATCATGTTTTTAAAAAATTTGTTCTACCATCTCTGTTTTTTAATTGGTTTAATTCATTTACAGTTATAGTGCCAACTGATAATGAAGAACTTATTTTTGCCATTGTGCTATTGTATTTTCTATATATCACGTCTTTTTTGTTTCTCAGTTTCTCCAATATTGCCTCCTCTGTGTTTGATTGGATTTTTTAGTGTAATATTTTGATATCCTCTTCATTTCCTTTTCAATATATTTTAAATTATTTTCTTAGTAGTTACCATGGGGGATTACAATTAATATTCTAAATTTATAACAATCTAGTTCTTAATTTCAGCAGCATACATTAATTCTGCTCCTACTCAGCTCCATTTTTCCCTTTATGTTGTTATTGTCACAAATTGTATCTTTATGCATATGTGCCCATTAACATAGATTTATAATTATTGTTTTATGCATTTGTGTTTTAAATCATACAGGAAATAAAAAGGGAAATTACATGCCCAAAATACATTAATACTAGGTTTTACATTAACCGATGTAGTTACCTTATCAGTGACTTTTATTTCGTTGTATGACTTTAAGTTACTGTTTAGTATCATTTGATTTCAGCCTGAAGAATTCCTTTAACATTTCTTGTAGGGCAAGTCTGTCAGTGAACTTTTATCTGTCAATGTCTTAATTTCTTCTTCATTTTTGAAGTATTTTGCTGTATATAAATTCCTGATTGGCATTTTTTTCCCTTTCTGTATTTTAAATATTTTATTCCACTCCCTTTTGACCTCCATAGTTTCTCATAAAAATAGGTTGTTAATCTTACTGAGGATGCCTTGTATGTGATAAATCCCTTCTCTCTTGCTGATTTCAAGATTTTTTTCTTTGTCTTTATTGGCAGTTTGATTATAATGTGTCTTTGTGTGGATCTCATTGAGTTTGTCTTGCTTGGAGTTTGTTGAGATTCCTGGATGTGTAGCATCACATCTTTCATCAAATTTTGGAAGTTTTTGGATAATGTTTCTTCCTTTCTCTCTTTTCTGTTTCTGTAACCCATAATGTGTATGTTGGTGTACTTGATGATGTCCCATAGGTCCCATAGACTCTGTTTATTTTGCTTCATTCATTTTTTTTGTCTGTTCATAAGACTGGGTAAGTATAATTGTCCTGTCTTCAAGTTTGATAAATATTTCTTTTGCCTGAGCAAATTGGCTTTTGAACCCCTCTTGTGAATTTTTATTTTAATCTCTCATATTTTTCATCTCTATTACTTCTACTGGGTTCTTTTTAAAAAATAATCTCTATTTTTTATTGATATTTCTTACTCTTTTATAAATAGTTTGCCTAATGTCATTTAGTTATTTACTCATGGTTTCCTTTAATTCTTTGAGCATCTTTAAGCCAGTTAATTTTAAAGTCTTTGCTTAGTAAATTCGACATCTGGGCTTCCTCAGGAATGGTCTCTCTCATTTTTTTCCCCACGAATGGGTCATACTTTTCTGTTTTTTGTGTGCTTCATAATTTTTTTTGTTGAGAACTGGACATTTTGAATACTGTAATGTGGCAATTTTGGAAATCAAGTTTTGCCTTCTACATGAAGGGTTGTTGTTGTTGCTTGATGAAGGCAGCAGTTGTTCATTTGTTTAGGGACTTTTCCAAATTGTTTTGAAAAAACTATATTCCTTGTTATGTGTGGTTCCTGAAGCCTATGTTTTGTTATCTTCATGGTCAGCCAACACACTGACAGAGATTTTCTTAAATGCCTGGATTTTGTAAGAGAAGAAAAGTAAAGTATATTCTTTTTAACTTCCTTCAGCTGATGCCTGGGAAGTTGCTTCAGCCCATCATGGTTGAACCACCTGTGTACTGGCCCCTCAGTGAACTTCCAAACAGATCAAAATACAGAAAACCAATTTTTTTTTTAAGAGAAGGTTCCTGTTGTTCACTTTGGCACTAGCAAATTGCACCAGACATACAGGCCATTGTCCCCATGCTGCTTTCCACAGGGCTTAAGGATAGTAGTTGCTATACATAACACTGACATTCACCAAAATTTACTAGTTTCTTTCTTCATCAAGCACTCCTCTAGACACTGCAAATGTTCAGCTAGACTTGAGTTCTGAAGTAGTTGGTTATGACAGTTCGTGTCAACTCAATTGTTTTGGTAAAGGGATTCATCCTACTCCACTGTCTTCCATGACATCACTTTCCTCCATGTTCATTCTTAAAAGCTTTCCAGTTTAAATAAGTTAGTCACTCATTGGTAATTGAATGGGAGGAGTAAGAGAAAGAAATGAAAATAAGTTTCTATAAGAAAATATAAACCATAAGGATCATCAATAAATATTTATAAATGGTTCAAATAGTATAAACCCTCAGATGAATGCTACAGGGTTTTCCTAATTTCAGTTCAGTATATAAAACTGCTCTTTGGCTGGGTGTGGTGGCTCACACCTGTAATTCCAGCACTTTGAGAGGCTGAGGTGAGCAGATCACAAGGTCAGGAGTTTGAGACCAGCCTGACCAACATGGTGAAACCCTATCTCTACTAAAAATACAAGAATTAACCAGGCGTGGTAGCACACACCTGTAATCTCAGCTACTCAGGTGGCTGAAGCAGGATAATTGCTTGAACCCGGGAGGTGGAAGTTGCAGCGAGCAGAGATCACACCACTGCACTCCAGCTTAGGCGACAGAGCAAGACTCCTTCTCAAAAAAACAAAAAATAAAAAACAACCAAAACAACAACAACAAAACCTGCCCTTTAGTAAGTTTTTATACAAGTGCAGCATTGGTAGAGTGGATGTCTTCCTTGGGAGGATTGACAGATCACGTTGATTGCCATCCTGAGATTAGCATTGTCATTGTAACGTGAACTGAGAGATGGAGTCTGTGGAACAGTCTTTTCTCTTATTGCTGACATATATGCCATATTGTATGTCTTTCTACTTAGTCCCCCTTCCCAAATCTGTGGGTGGGTCATGAATCAATTGCTTCATGGCTGTATGCAGTCTGCAGGCCTTATGTTGTGTAGGCCTGCTATAGACAATGCTCTTTAATTGGGCAGAAAAGTTGCTGCATTGGCTTCTTTCCCATTTAAAAAAGCTGAGTACATGCTGTTATTGCAGCATTTCCAGTCTATGCCAGCTTGAGGAGCAAGTCCCAGGATTGGAAATCAAACTAGGGGCTCCACATGGTAATACATAGCACTGCATTTTGACTGTTGAGTCTGATTGTATTTATA